AACCCCCCCCCCAGGCTGCAACCCCCACCCCACCCCATACCCACAGCCAACCTCCGCCCCCCCCCTCGATGCGCGGGGGCTACTAGCTGACTCAGCTCACTCCCTTTTCCATCGCGGGAACTATGGTATCACAAATTGTGGCGCTCCTCATCGTCATCGTTTCCGACCCCGTAATGCCGCCGGTAGGATTCGATCGGGCGATCTCAAGCAACACTTACACTCCCTCCCATACAACAACCCACCCAACCGGGTTCCGAATAAAAACCTAAAAAAAGAATCAGAAGCCGCACGCTGCCCTCCTCTCTCTCCTCCCCCACCAGACGCAATGCGGCCCCCTCCCTTCCTCCCTCCCCCCTTCCCTCCCGCCCTCCCTCCCTCCCCCCTTCCCTCCCGCCCTCCCTCCCTCCCCCCTTCCCTCCCTCCCTCCCTCCCTCCCTCCCCCCCCACCTCCGTCCTTCGAGAAGGGCATCAACATCTCCGCACACCATTGGAAGTCCCAGAAGTCCGCGTCGTGGTCGCTATCGGGGTCCGTACCGCTCAACGGGTCGAAACACGACACGTCACCCGTGTGGTTGTAAAACACACCCACGGCCAGGCTCATGGCTGACACCAGGAGGGGTGGTGGCGGTAAGAGACGGGGGGGGGGGGCGAGGGCAAATGAAGGGAGTGGACACCGGCGAGAAAAAAAGGAACGGCAGGAGACGATGTCGTGGAAGTGCCGTATTCTTGGGGGGAGGGGGAAAGCTGGAGGGTTGGTGCAGTGTGTGTGTGTATGTGTGTGTTAATAATCAGAATCCCCAGGGTTGTGTGTATGTGTTCGTACGGCACTTTCCCAAGGCCGTCTGGGGAAGAATCCTCACCGCTAGGACCCACTACCAGTCCCAACATAAATACAAACCCCAAACCAATCCCGTACAAACGCACTTTCCTTGCACGATAGGGTCATCGGACCACCCAACCGTCGCAGCTCCCAATCCCTCCTCACGAATTCCCCCCAGCCGAGCCACAACCCATCCCGCCGCCCATTCCTAAATCGCCGCTTGACAACTAACCGATACACAACCGTCAACTGCAAGATCACAACAGAAAACCGACTTACCCTCCAAAAGGTCCTCATCATTGAAGGAATCGCTGTCCAAGTACGAACACGCGACGCGGACCGGGAAGGCCGGCAGTCGGCCGTGACCGTTCGTGATGTACGACGATGGATACGGAAAGTTACCCATGGCCTGAATGTACGGCAAGTGCACGGAACACGACTCAGCCATGATCCGTACTGGCACGCGTACGTACATACAGCCAAAGTGTACGGCCGTCGCAACCCCACTCGCCCCCTCCTCCCCCCCCGCCATCACCCCCCCTCCTCCGGGCCCACCCAGCCGCCTTCATTCTCTCTCCCCCCTTTCGTCCCCTCCGGACCTCCGCCCACCCAACTGCCCTGCATCCACGGAAATGCACTTGATACACAAGATATCCCCGATAACAAATCTCTTCCCAAGGACAAAATTACGTACCCTTCGCACACCGCTCTTTTCGCACACGAACACATCCTAGCAAAAGGCTCCCAACCAGAACATCATCCGCAAATGCTTCTCCTACCATACTCCAGACGACTTCTTTTCGACCCTGACATCTTCTCATCCGAAAACCAAAAAGGTAGTGGGTGGTACTGCTTCGGAGCGGTACCACCCACTACCATTTTACTATAAAAAATGGAACGGGCACGGACCGTCTCTACAGCAAACCACGGGATCACGTTGAGCTATGGCGGGGTAGCTCAGCAGCAGCAGCAGCAGCAGCAGCCACGTTAACCATTAACGTTTTTCGACTCCCGTTACACAGTACTTGCAGCAGCAACCACCTTGGCAACTCCCCCCTCCCTTTAAACTACTTACAATCCACTCGTATCGTCAATCCTACACCATAACGTAATTACCAAAACTTCACTTATCACGGTCTGGTGGATCTTTCCTAAAATATCCCTCGTATCCCTTAAGACTCTGAAGTCTGAGCTTCACCGTCACACCTTCCTGTAACGACTATACCCCCTATCCCCACCTTATTCCAAACATCCCTTCACATTCTGACATTACGTAATAACTAACTAACTCTGTAACAAACTCAACCGTCTCACTGCTATTCTCTTACGAAAGCCTCGGCGATACCCTTTTTTCTTTTTTCACTTTTTCTTAACTACCATATCACCTTTCCAACAACTCGCCAACGGCAAAAGCCAGCAACACAATAACTCCCAATCCACTATATGCGCCAGGCATACAGACTATCTCCCCTCAACCCAACACAAAAAAACCCAACGCCTACAAAAATATTCCTTTCAACAAAAGTATACTACGCCCAAACCGACACTTCGCACCTCCCGCCGGCGATACAACTCACTCCAGGGAACCACACCCTCTCGCAACGAACACTCGATTTAAAGAAGCGCGTTTAATTCTGTTTAATACATATACTGATATCTCGTTCACCATTTATTCCCAAACTCGCTCAATCGCGCCTATAACACCGAACGCCGTCATACCTATAGCCACACCTATAGCCCACACCTTTCACATCAAATACCACCACTCTTCAGTATCCTCATCTACAACAACTTATCTTTATTCCCTATAATCCACAAAGACCTACAATCTTCGCGCGGTGCTATCTTGCACAACGCCACCGTTCGAACCTCATCATCGCCCACCAACAGTAAGTCCTCCCCAGCCGTCCGCCTTTCTTTTTCCTCGCAAATAATCCATCGCAACACAGCTAGTTTTCAATTCAAACCTCCGTGATTGCTCGTCGAGTACCCATATCTTACATACCCGCCATGCCAACTCGTAACTGCTCATAAACCTCCAAACCAGGCTCCTACACCCACTGCAATTGACTTTACAACTCACTATCATTACGTTTTCCATTCAGGCTCGTCCTCGCTCACCACTTGACAACCACCATCGATTGGACTAAAACCGCTCTGCGAACACCAACTACCACCACCAAACTTCTTCACCACTGGTACAGTTCGCCCACTACGGTCAGTTTACGTTTTCTACATCTCAGGGGGCTCTTAGCATAGCAAAGCACCTAAACTTAGCGCAAGAGTCACCTGATGAGGCCCTGGCAAGGCCGAAACGCGTCGTGACGTGCCTTGCTAAATTTAGCTTCAGCGACTTTATTTAGGTCAGCTTGCACTAGCTTAGCAGCCCATCTAGTTCTCTTCCAAATACACCCAGTTTTTCTTATTTCTTTTTTCCACGCACCACACCTATAAAACTCTCAGCTCGGACCAAACCACTCCCAGCACTTATATCTCCTTAACACTCCTTCACCTCAGCCAAAACCCCACCTCTAGATTTTTACATCTCTCCTATACACAAAAACTATTTTCCAGCCCTCCACACACAACATCCTTCGATAAATTTATACTCGTCGCTTTTTATCCCCTCGGTCTAAACCTTCCAAACCTCTCTCACAAAACATACCTTTTTTCTCAACCCTAGCTAATCGCCCCTAAAACAAACTCTATAACACATACCTCTCCTTCCAGCTTTAGATTTTCTTTTTTAAAAAAATTTCCACTAATCTGACCTTCTAGACTCATTACTTTAACTTTAACCTTTAACTTTTACTTTTTACCTTTACCTTTAATCTATATCTCCGATTTTTCTTAAAAGTTTTTCCTGATCTAAAAAAGTTTTTTATGAATTCCTAAAACATTTTTTAAGATTTCCAGAACTTAACAAGTAATTTAGTTTTTTAAAGTTAAAAGTTTCTCTTTTTTACAAAAAATTATTAAAGATTTTTGCACTAACGAAGGGTTGACCTAAGAACCATCTACCAGCAGCAGCAGCAGCAGCAGCAGCAGCAGCAGCAGCAGCAGCAGCAGCAGCAGCAGCAGCAGCAGCAGCAGCTTCACCTCACATGCAATGCTCTCTGTCTGCAACTCTGCGTGGAATTTCCCACCCAGCATTGCTCCAATATGTGTGTGTATGTGTATGTGTGAGGGGGAGGGGGAGGAGGAGGAGGGGAGCTATCCCGATGCTCTCTCTCTCCCAAGCTCCCGGGTCCTGTCCGCAGTCTGGCCATCTGCCACGTCACACACCCCTGTCGCTCTCCCTCAAATCCCCCGGGACTCCCCCTTCCCCCCAAAAAACACCCCCACCGCCACCCACCATCATGTCCCAGGCGGCTGCCAACCACTCCCTCAGCAAGATCACGTCGTCCTCATTTTGAGGACCGGCTCCGGAGCATAGCTGAAGTGCATCCGCCAGGAACGCACGACCTGCGGGGGTCGCCGTACAGTACGACATGACAGTATCGTACATAAGTACGACAGACGCGATACAATTACAAGCACACCGAGGGAGGGAAAGAGGTAAAGATACGGATGCAGGTACAGAGGTACGCGCACAGACACACGCCCATGATCCCCCCCTCCCCCCTCCCCGCTGCCTCATACCACGAGGCAAAGAGCGCCTGTCGAGTCGTGTACGAGATTCCCAGGCTTACACCATTTGGTCATGTAAAGCTCTAATAGCTCTACGTTTGAATTGGGGGCTGTGTTGGGCGCCAACCCCAATGCTTTTTTTGCCTTGCGTCCACTAATCGTACCGTGCTCGTCCCCGCCGTAGATACGGAGCAGGCCCCATGTAGCTCGTACATTGTCGATGCAGGCGGGCGCCGAGCCAGCCAGCTCCGATGCATCGTACGTGACGCCCTTGGCGAAGGAGCCCGAGTCGAATGGCGGCGTCTGACCCATGGGACGGTGTGGTCGATATGGATGGTTACATGCAGAAGGGGGGGGTCGAGGGAGGTAGCAGTCTGGTGCTTGTGACCCATGTGCGTCGCTCGATGTGATGGAGCGATAAAAGGAAACAGCCGTGGCGAGTGACAGATAAGGCAGTTCTATAAGGGGCGTTTTGAGCGATTGATTATAGGGTGAGGTTTGTGGTATTTGACCCATGGGTCGGTGCGTGGTTGTTTGAAAAGGATGGGTTAAGCAAGTTGTCCGACTGGGGGGTCTTCCTGGGGTTCGGCTAGTGTGAAGGAAAGGGGAGGCATTGACCCCACCTGACCCGTGGGTCGGTGGGTACGGAGTAGAGGGAGGAATGGTATTTTATTTCCTATATGATGTAAATGTCCGCATGAATGGCGTGAGGGCATTTCGTTTAGCAGACCAGCATGGAGATTTATCATGTATTTTTATACCATGTGCACTTACATCGGACGATGATGTAGTGTAATCGGACGACGATGACAATCAGATTGTAAGATCCGTAAGAGCCGTGCCGTACCTCTCCTAGGAAGTTCCAGATGGGGGCAGATGCCGCGATGGCGCCGTCCAACGCGTGCGGGTACTTGAGCCGCATCCACGCCGCCAGCATGCCGCCATACGACCCTCCGAAACCTATGTCGTACAGCCCCAGTGGCCCAGTACGGGGATTGCGAGGGAAATGTCCATCCCGAGGGGTTTAGGGTTTGGTACCGGGGTGAAAGTGAGCCGCTATGACTGCACTGTAACGCCCACATCCCATCACATTAGAAGGGCAACTGTCATACTGGTCCCCCCGCCGTACTAACCAATAACGGCGCTCCCTTCCGCGTCGTACTCTTCCTTGATCTCCATGATCAGCTCCGCATAGTCCGCCATGGCCTGCACAGGCAGTTGGCGGTTATTGGTTGGCGGCGCCACTGTAAAAACTGGCGGTTGACACAGCATTAGGAACGTGAAAGAAGTAACCGATAACCGCCAAAAAGTAGCCTATAACCGCCGATAAAGCAACCAATAGTAGCCGTTTGTACTTTCCCCCTTTCCCCCCCCAAGCGGCCCCCTAACAGGTCATCTATGCTTTGGGGTACACGCATGCACACGCGAGCCATCTAACCCCTAAACACACACGCATACACACTCACACACACACACACGCGCGTACAGGCGCATCCATGTACATTTTAAGCGATACACTAAAACACACACATACATACATGTATACAAAACAATAAAAAAACTCGTACACCGTGTCTCTCCCCCCCAAATCAGCTCCCCCAACAAACCCTCCAAAACACCCCAAAGCCCCCCCACATTCCCCGAACACTCGTCCACCTGCTCGGCCATCAAGTACCCCATGTGTTTCCGTACATTCTTGCCGTACGGTACGGATTCACCGTAGTACCTGCAAGGAGGGAGGAGGAAGAGTGACGAAACCCCCCCCATGGCTTCCCCGCCATCCAGTCAACTTCTCAGTGGATCGCTCAGGTTCCGCACCCACCACCGGCATCCAACGGAATCTGCCGGATCGACGGCGGGCTCAACTCCTTTCCTGGTCGGCTCGATAGATAACTGTATCCCAGGTCACCACCCCATCAACTAGGGGCACATTACCTTCCACCATCGGAAGGGATTTTCGACCCTGACAGGTCTCGATCCCGGGATCTCCCGGGGGCAATGGTGCATGCTTTACAAGTAATGCCTGACCTATGTATGTATGTATGTATGTATGTATGTATGTATGTATGTATGTATGTATGTCTGCATATATGTATGTATGTATGTATCGTTTGTGGCCAGCCTCACACACCCCCACACGCGCCCTCCTACATACTTTCCCAAGCACATACATACATACATACATACATGCAGGCGGCTGGCAGAGGTTAAGGCCTGACTTCTGCTCCCGGCGGACCCGGGTTCAAATCCGCCTGCCGGCTCCTCGGGTGTTTGAGGAGTGTTAAAATGGGAGGTGGCCCCCCATCATATGGACGATGTAGGACATGATAAAATCAATTTGCGAGCTAACCAGGAGCTAAGTTGATGCGCCGTTGATCCGCTAGATTTGGTTGGATGCTGGTGGTGAGTTGCCGAACCCAAGAATACATTCTGAAGTCGGATTGGGTGACGGATTAGGGTGCCCCTCTAGCAGGGGAGAGCAGAGACTGCCTCGGGAAAGGGGGCCGCTGGCGAAGTTAACCACCCTGTAACAACATACATACGTACCTATGTTCCGCGAAAACCAGCATCGCCTCAAAGTCGGGGGCGCCCTCCCACATAAGGCCCGTGTTGTTGAGGTACCTACAGCAATGAGATGGAGGTGGACGTGGAGGTAGGGGGGTGATGGCGGGGGTGAGGTGATACGGGGGCACCACCTGGGGCCCCCTCCTCCTGGCTCATAACCCCCCCATATATATACCCCCTCTTTCCTTGGCAGCAGCTTCAGTCGTCCGTGGTTCGTCTTTCCCCCCCCCTTTTCCCCCCTCCCTACGTATAGCCCCCAACGAGTCCGGGAGGCTCTCCAGGCTGTTGTAGGTCACACCGGGGGACCTCCATCCCCAAATCCCCAGCTCCGGTCTCAGCGTCTCAGCAGCCCCAAACCTTCCATCCCAACCCAACTTTCAACCTCCAACTGCAAAGCCCCCCGGCTCACAGCGTGACATCCGCCTCGTTCCCCAGATAGAAGAAGATGGGCCTGCGAGTTGTGCGGGTTTATGCGAGTTTATGTGGATGGATACATACATACATACATACATACATACATACATACATGCATGCATGCATGCACGCACATGCATGCATACGTACAAACCATACCCGCTGGAGCCATCGGGTCCTCGACGTCGCCAATGATTGGCGCACACAAAGAAACGCTGTAAGAAGGTGGACGCACCTCCAGCGGCCGGAACCTGATGTACGACAAGAGCGTCGTACGTTTCAACAAATACATGACAGGCGAGGGCGCATGGATAGGGAGGCCGTGGGAGAGGCAGGTCAGGAGGGGGGGAGAAAAGCCATGGCTAAAGATGCAATTGAGATGGTAATGGTAATGCGGGGGGAGGTGAAAGGATCAGGGCCATAATTCAAAGGTATTGAAACAGAAGAGGGCCCTTTAAGCTGTTGACCTTTTGATTTGAATTCAAAGGTGACAAGCGTGGTATCGCCATCATAAGAGCTTATAAGATAAAGAAGAACGGAGGCAACGGGATGTCCGCTTTATTGGCCCACAGCGACAGTAACCAGTTTATAGAAGGCATGGACCGAGCCGATAAGGAATGCCCACTTCGTGGCATGGGCCAAGGAATGACGTGCAGCATCGCTTCCCAAGAGCAACCCCAATGCAAGCGCACCCGACTGAAATGGTCCAGCGTAGCATTACGCCATCGTTCTGTGCACTGTCCGATAAGGTCCTTCCTTAGCGATTCCTTAGCAATACTGCGAAACGGGCGCTGCAGCCTTTGGTATCTTTTGGTGCTGGAAGGTGCTTCGTTGCGAGCTCCAATCTGATTTGCACTAAGCACGAAACTCGGCCGAGGATGGAGCGCGGCCGTCCCCTCCAACAACATGCTAGCAACGCAACACGCTAAGAATATCATAGTTCCAAAGCGGGAGCATTTACTTTCCATTTTTTGCCCACTAGGGTTCCGAAACAAAGGCTGTTGAGGAGTCCCAACAAGCTTTGCAACCCAGGAAAGCTAAAAAGGCATATTACCAGTACAAAATTTGTGCCCTGCTCATAAATCCTTTGACCATTTGGTGACCACGACGGGATAACGCAAAGGTGATCAACTGTCATGTACGGCCTGATGGCGAAGGCAAACCCTTACTACCACCTAATGAGATAACCACAATGGCTTAACTTGCCTCGCATGAACATTAAATCGAACTATATCAGAGCACAAAATTCGGGCTCAGCGGCCATCCAAGCGGACAATTTAAAGTTTTCAAACCTCCACGCTACGCAGCGAGCGCGTCCTAAGAGACCCCAGAACGCGAAAACCGGCCGCACAGAGCATAAGGTGATTGCGTCAGCTGATTTAAAGCTTGGCACGAATAATGCAGAAGTGTGCTGACGAAAGCTAAGGCTAGGTATTGTAAGCAAGATACGTACAGCGACGTGAGGCGGACAACCGCATCCGGATCCGTGGGCTGGCAGGCAACGCAACGTGCATACCCAACCCAAGCTTTGCGTGGTTATGCCTGCGTAAGGTGCACATCTGCTGGAATAAGCTGATGGATATGCGGAAGCCCGATAGCCCCAGCCGATAATTTCGCCATCATAACCCCCCAGGTGTAGTAGCTGGTACACAGTACGGCACACGTAACCTCTACAAATACGCGCTAAGCGCGACCGCCAGCATCTCGAGCGGCCTTTTCGGCGGCCAGCTACTACACCAGGTTGCTTCCCATCCGACCCGAAATCCGATGGACCCGTGCTCAGCCTCCGGTGAGCCCATGCAGCCCTATGCAGCCATAAATAAGCTGCCGCCTAAACCCCGGCAAACTCCGGGCCCTCCGGAATTGGCCTGCTAGCAATCCAATCGACTTACGTAACGGCTCTACTCTTCGTGAGTCTGGAGCCCACTGTAACAACCACACACGTGACAAGTGTGGCATGCCGGCCCATATATCATACTTCACAGCTGCTAGGAACCGGAAGTCCATAGCCATTCTGTCCATATCAATCTGTCATCAAACTCGCCGTGCAGCGCCATAGCGATTTCCTTACGCAAAGTGCGATGCGCGAGTGAGCCGGGGGCTGTTTGACAACAATGTTTCAAGTCAACCAATAACCGTCCGGGCCCAGAAGTAGTGCATCCATCGGGAAATTGGGATAGCTCTGCGAAAAGCAATGTGTGAGGTGGTGTGAGGTGGTGTGAGGTGGCCGAAACCCCCCTATAGCTCCCGACGCATGAACAAGATACCATAAAGGATCTGAAAGACTTGGAGATCAGTGGTGAGATCAGTGGTGACCCCCAACCGCTATATCGCTGGTTCCCTTATTACCACACGCCGAGATCTTCTCGTATTCAACGATGGTTTTTGAGTAACCTTTTACTAGGGTTTCTGTTAAGTAGTACGTCACAATATGGCAGTAACAAATATAGCAGTGGGCCATATTGGCGTTCAAGCTCAAAATCGTGTCTGCGTCGAATAACTTCAAGTTCATTGAATTTATATCCTTCCATAGAGGTGTCTGGGGTGCGCGTGCAGAGGACCACATACACGTGCTGGCCAGTGCTGCGTGTATAGTCGTACATTCATCAGCTGCGTCTGAGGCAACTTAGTCCCCAAGTCAAGGAGCTCATCCCACCGGAAAAGACTGGCAAAGAATTTGAAGCAGCGGATATGATGCCGGCGGGGCTTCAGCACCCTTTGCGTTTGCTCCGTAGCTAAAGGCTATACAATTGATAGGGGGACCGTGTTTAGAGCCGGCAAAGGGACGCCTTGCTATTCGCAGGTGAATTGCCGTGACGGCGTTTTTCTTTGGTTTGGCGGGGTAACTTTCAGCTTGAAGCAAAGGTGAAGGATGTCAAGGCAGGGTTTTAATGGATAGGCGGTACGACGGCGTGAAGCAGCAAATCGTAATCTTACTGGTGCATGTAACCCATCCCAACTAAAACCATCGCACACTCCTCCATCCGCCATGGCTGGCCCGTGCCCCCTCCAAAGCAAACAGCTCCACACGTGCTTTCCACAAGGCTGTCCATACTTGGTAATAACACCCATACCCAATGGTCCGGTCTGGGCGACACTACTGTCTCATACAGTGTAAGGTCCTGGGTTCGCTCCAAGGGAAACCCCCGATGTTGTCGGGAGCGTGAGATTGTGGCTAGCTGCTGAGATGTGGAGTCGAGATCACAGATGATAGATCTAGATTCGCACACTGAAGTGGTGGCGATTGCTGAACCCTCTGTCTCTGCGGATATTCGGGTGAGTGTATGAGGAGTGATCCTAGTAGGCAGGAGGCCTTGGGCAGCCAGTTCGTATGGCGTAGTTCAGTGTGGTCATGGTGGATGGTGCTCCATGGTATAATACCCAACAAGGCTGCTTACCCGGGGGGGGGCAGTTTTTACGTACCATTTACGAAGGATGGATCTTTCTGGTTGTACGAATTTACAATAAGAAATGCTATGCTATACGTTATGGAGGACGGAAAACCGGAGGAGCCGTGGTGGTGTAGTAGCTAGCTGGCGCTCGCCGCCACAGCTGACTGCTGCCCTTGGCTTTTTTACTTCCTCTCGGCGCATGAGAGGTACGCCAAAGCCCCAACCACGCGTCGACTGTCCAGCGACAATCAATCATTACCAACATCATGATAAGCAACATGAGAGAATCAGATATTCAAACGTCATCATATCCTGCCGCCGCCAAGGCGCTCCACACAGCACAACACTTTGCAGTGATCGGCACTGCTGGGTGTCGACCAACGGGTAGCCCGCCGTACACACAACGATGTGTACGACGTCTATGCAGAGGAAATGATGTGTACTGTGCAGTACACATCTTCTCCATCCTCCCTTAGGTGAGGGTGAGGATGACCATGTGAGGAGAGAGCTGCTGTACGACAATGGCGGACGTACAAGGCGAGGTTAGACATACGGCTTAACTGCAACCCTCTCTTTCACCCCGGGTCGCTGGCGGCTTCCCCCCCTCCCCTTTACCTCCCAAAATGCGCATGGCATATTCTTCTGTATAAGAGCTTACTGGCTGTGGCTACTAATAAAAATACGATGCAGGTCACCAACAACCAGACGGACGGCAGCACTTCACGATCGGCCCCGCACCACCTCACCTGCCTGGGCAGCTAAATGTGAAAGCATGTAAAAATCACCGCTTTGGGGAACGAACGGCACCACCCCGCTCCTTCTCCTCCTGCTCCGTGCGAGCCTCCTCTGCTTTCCTTATTTCCGTTGTCTCTCTTCGCAGATACCCTTGCAACTAACACCTCCCGCAAAACCCATCACATCCTGAAAAGATAGAGAAGGTCTTCAGCACAAATGACACGCGCAGCACATGTGCATACATACATACTCACGTACGGCCACATACACCACGACACACCCGTTCACGCTTGCAGCAGCATGCTTTGGCTTGCGTTGCGTTGCATGCACTCGATTCGTCGTTGTGATCATCAAGAAACAGGCGTGCGCGTGCGCGTAGTATACATTTCGGTAGTGTGTGAAAGGTGCTCATTGTCTCAAAAGAGACACGTGCACACATTCACATACGTATACGCATGGACACATAGGGGCACGCACCATCACGCTAAGGACTCCTCGAGCCAGCCAGCACCACCATTTGCATGCCCATGCCCGCCTGCATCTCCCCACCCACGGCCTGGGATCGACCAAGCTGACAGTAAAACCCGTTTTAGTACACCAGTTTGCAGCAAAGTTCACAAGTGCTGTGCAGCCCGCTTGCTGTGACAGATGGGGCGATGGATAAATGAGTGAATGGATGAGTGAACGTACGAAACCATGTAGCTTTCGAATGCCAAGGGTGTTAAAGGAATGGACATAGGCCAAATTGACGGGGTATGGTTGAAGAAGAGTAGGAATAGAAGGGGGGAGGGGGATATTGCAAAAGGGAAAACACTGAGGGGTGGTTGCTGCCCCACCCAACCCGCCTGTGACCACGACCATTCGCCTGTCAGTCTGTCTGTCTGTCAGTCGACGGCAAAGTTAGGGCCCCAGGAAAGCCTGGCACGCAAACACACCACGCCGCAGTCCACTGCCTTGCACGTAGCCCCCTCCCCTTGAGAGCAACTCGACCGCAACTCAACGAGACCCCACGTACGGCAAAATACCACACGGTACGGATGCAGTCCGCCACAGCTCCTGCAGGCGCATAAGCCCCCGAGCGACCTAAAGACGCAACGCACGTACACACAGACATGCTCCCATCTACCATACGTACATACATACAAACATACATCCACATCATACAGAGTCATAAGCGATATTCCCTCGGATAAACAGTTGTCCGTCGGCAAATGCACACGAACTACTTGCGCAAGGTTAAATTCTCAGAGCTCAGAGCGCATCCTGCAAATCATTTTCGCCGGCCCTGCCCGGCCCTGCCCTGCCTGGCCGTGCCATGCCCTGCCCTAAGCTCGCAAGAGGGCGGCAGTGATGCGGTAGAAGCGGGAGAGGGTAGAACGGCCGGGGGAGGGACGTGGCACCCTCATACACGGGAAAGCGCAAAAGGAAAAGCGCTCAAGTGCGGGGCAAAGCAGGGCAGGGCAGGGCAGGGCGCCAGCACGGGATGGGTGCCCGGGACTATGTCGCGCGTCCCATCACAACCAGCCCCCACAGTCATTCATGCGCCACGCCTGACACCTGCCAGCTATCACACTTGGACACGCCATACCATTCCGTCCATTTCGTCATCCCATCTCACACATCTCAACACCAGCATGTGCCTTGCCCCACCGCAGCCCCACAGGGCCCCCTGCCGTCACCGCAGTGATGGTGGCGGTGATGATCGGTACTTTAGCACGTGTGTCACTGGGCCTGAAGTTAAGCTCGGTGTGGGGCGGTTTAGTTGGTTGGCGGCTCAGCCGCGCCCAGAGCTTAGACGTAGGGCATGTAGTTGATCGGACAACAGGAGTTGCCTGCGGAGGTGTTGGGGTGTGGGGGGGGGGAGTCGGTGGGAGCGAGCTCGTAAGAAGGAAAAGGGTAACGAGGGTAACGAGGGTAACGAGGGAAGGTAAAGTTCGGGCGCTGTGCTGTTTGCGTCTTGTTGTTAAGGATGCTCCTGACGACATGTTGCTCCGTCCGGGACACATTCTATACGGCTTGCTCCGAAAAAGCGAGAGAGCAAACGGGTCTTTTGCCCGTCACACACAAAAACAACTATCAAACGCTATTGTCCTGTACACAAGCAGCGTACACATACCCGACACAGGTGCATGTGCATGTGTGTATATTAAAGCGCCTCTCTCGCGCGCCCATCTCGAGAAACAATCCCCGGTCAGTAGACCCATTCCCCCTTTCTGTATGTATGTACTGATAGTGATAAGTCCGCACCTGGTGGCGCGAATGTAGCCACCTCACAGCCCCGAGGTCCCTCCGAGCAGAGCTGCTGGAGGTTGGTGCAGCTGGGGCCCTTGATGGAGAAGCACAGGAAGGCACCATCCTCGCCCACCTTGTACGGCAGATTGAGGTTAGTGAACTTAAGCGTGGGGAAGGTGTTGTGCCACAGGAAGGAGGACTTGGTGCCGGTGACGCCGGTCATCGTGAACTGGGAGATGGAGCCCCGGCATTGGCGGTCTAAGGGGGGGAGGAGGGAGGAGGGAGGAGGGAGGAAGCGGGGAGGGGAGGGGAGGGAGTGTTTTTGGGGGTCGCTGTATATGGGTACGGGAGTGAGCGATGTGGTCTGGCAGGGGCGAAGTGGTGAGAGTAAAACAAGGCAACACCCGAAAGCATGTAGACGTGGAGAAAGCAAGATCAGTTGGGTGTGTGTGTGTGTGTGGACGGCTTGCGAAAGCCCGGTGGCGATGGAAATCGTGCGGCAGAAAGGAGTGGCGTTTAGGTGTTGAATAGGTCTTTAATTAGAGGTCTTTTAAGAGGTCTTTAATAGTCAGACAGGCAAAAAAGCGGGCGAACTCACTGGCCAGGATCTCGACCTTCTGGAGGCGCTGCGTGCAGCAGCCGACCGCGTTGTTGCAGGTGGCGGCAGCGGCCTCGTCCACGTACAGCTTCATGCACACACGCTGGCCGCCCTTGCCCTCAGTGACGTTGTGGAACACGGCGCGCCAGGGGTAGTCAGTCGGGGCGAAGGACTTGCACCTGGAAGGGAGGAGTTTGGGGCTCAGGTGACCTCACGCGTTCTACGTTTTTTTGGAATAAATTTCCAAGTGAAATTCGGTGAGCTGCTTTTGGACAAGGTGGTGTCACATATCGAGTCATATCCTGGGCGGCCCGTCGCCAGGGTCCCAAGGCAACGTGGCAAAACCGTGGTGTGACCGGGTGACCCTCCTAGTTCATCTCTCAAGTAACGATAAGAGAAACTCCATAGGAGCCGGCGGATAGGACACAGCAGACTGAACAAAGATTTCATAAGTAGATTGTACGGCACAAATCGTACTACGGCATGATTATAAAACGACGTGCTGCTGTACTTACTCGCAGAAGGGGAAGCTGCCGGGTGGTGGCGGTGGCGGCGGCGGCGGCGACGGCGGCTTGGGTGATGGCGGCGGCGGCGGTGGTGGTGGTGGCGGCGGCGGCGGGGGCGGCGGCAATGGCGGCGGCGGCGAGGTTGGGCGACGTGGCACCTTGCGCGCCTGCTCTGTGGGGGCGAGGTTCAAGATAGGGCTGATGGAGGTGGTGGACCCTGTGGGGCAGCACTCCGAGCTGGCGTCGAAGATGGCGTACTGGTACACGGCAGTCCCTTCGTACATGTACGTCTGGGCCTCCGAGCAGACGTCGGGCTTGCGGTTCAGGCAGAATGGCAGACCCTCTGTGCATCAAATGGGGTTCGGGCAAGGCAGGAGGAGGGGGGTCGGCAGGGGAAAAGGCGGGAATCCAGATTGGAGACACACAGACAAACAAACAGAAAGACAAACAGATGTAGATGTAGGCATTCGAAACACGATCTGGTGGATGTGGGTGAGCAAGGTTTTGTTCGCCGTTGCGGTCCGAGAGAATGCCCCAGCTGGGGCGCGGGAACGCGAACATGAGGGGGGTTACATGGGGGGGCGGGTGGAGGTTGGAGGTTGGAGGTTGGGAGGATGGGGGGTTAGTTGGACGGACCTGGGGGGTTCCGTGCACAGCACAGACCGGTGTAATATGTCCCCCACGAACGCGATTTCCTTTCCTCCCGCGCACTTCGAACCAAACAGAATGCAGCCCCCAGCCAACGCCGTCTCCGTGCCTGCCTCCCCTTTTTGTCGACACCACCTACTGCAACCCAAACCAAATCCAAACCGGGATCCAGTTCCTAACACGCTACCCGGTAGAGGCAGCTCCACGATGCCTCCAGAAAACTCCCCCGGAAGCGCCCCAATTATGGAATACGAGATCCTCTTCATCCTGTTGCTCTGTAGTATTCCCGCTCCATTCCAACCACCTCTCGTATGCCACGTCGGTTCATCTTCATTTTCCGGTTTGTTCCCTCTCACTACGTCAACCGCAACACCTTTTCCAACCACCACCGTTTTTCCTAACTCAGCCTAACCGTTTGTGAGGTGGTGGGTGGAAGCTCCGCTGTCTTCAACCAGCACCTTTCAAAGCCATCGTGACCTCACCGCCATCCTCTCCCGTCCCCATGCCTGCTCAGTTAAACGGCAAAACCAGTTACCGTCCCTGCCCACCTAAGTTGCCTTCCGCCTTACCACCAAGTTAAGAAAGTGCGGACCTGGGCCTGGTTCCTTCTTGCTGCACCGAAGACCGCCCTTCCATGCGGCAGGGAAAAAGGAACGGGCCGCCCATCTGCCCTTCCCTGGGGCACCCCGGGCTCAGCTCTTCCCACCCCCCCATTCCTCTCCAGTTTTTATAAATCCCCTTCTTGACCCGCCTGTTGGCCGAGGTGGATATACATCTCGGTCCATCTTGGCTACAGTCAACACCCACACTTCCCACGCTCATAGTGCGCTATGCTTCCCCACCCCGCCCCTGCTGCCCTCGCTTCGTTTGTCATCCTGTTTGCTCGTTTCCAATGTTCCCCGAGCCACGCCTCAGGTCTCCTCAGGTCGGCGAGATGCCGCAGCCCACGCCCTTCTCTCCTCTGAACTAACAGCCCACCCAACTCCCCCGGGACCTCTTATCGACTCTCCCCCCCCCGACACGCAGACACAATCACCACAATCACCACATGACGTCATACACCGCATCATTCATCACAGCCTCAAACTCAAATCCCGACCATACTCCCTCACATCCTCTCCCAAACCTCTCCCAGGAATCCGACCCCAGTTCCGGCTTCCCCCTCCCCGGCCCTTCCCTGCAACACACACGCACACGCACACACACATATACACACGCACACACGCACCAGGGTACTTGGCCAGCACTGACTGGTCCAGGTTGAGACCCTTCGAGATCCGGATGACAGCGGACACGTCGGGGGTGAGCACCTCGATACCCACGGGGAAGATCTTCTCCACAACGCCGTTCGCCGAGTCGTCGTAGCCCTTGAACATCAGCGCCTTGGTAACGTAGCCCTCACAGGAGGGTGCTATGAGGGGAGGGTTAAGTGGAGGGGTGTTGTTAGGGGAGTTGTCAAGACGCTGGGAGAGGAGGGATCGTGGGAGGACAAATATGTTCAGAAATGCAAACTCTTCTTTTATCGTGGGGAACGGCATCGCGCGCGGAAACATAACATAAGCTGGGCTTAATTGAGTAGGCGGCGGGGTAGGAAAGACGAACTTTGCCAAGTGGATGGTGGCATGATGGAAAACATGGGAACGGAACAGCCGTGCAGTACGAATCAGCCTTTGGAGGCTGGGAGAGGAATAGGGGATGTTAAGGGGATGAAGGGCAGGGGTAACCCCGGAAAAGCTCGTAGACTTGTGGCGTGTAGCTAGACGATGGTGTAGCGAGACATTGGCATCGGCAACGGCGCGCGTTGCCGGCCAGTCTGTTTGTTGGAACCGACACTTATAATTATCTTTCAGGTATGACTATATTTTGCGGCATATCCTAGCGTCTTGAAGCCACAGGACGCTGAATTGGCGGCAGCTACAACAATGAAACGTCCGCGGCTAATAAAAGGTCAGTCGAGCAAGGAGTCGCACACGCTTCGCACGCTTTCAACTGCAAAGCAGCTAGCTCATATATATTTGTATTTAGATAACAGATTATATTAAGTCTTACCAGCGTTGAACTCGATCTTGGCGAGCGACGGACTGCAGCAATCAGGCGTATCGGTTGCCTTGGCTGGGCAGTCAGTCGCTGCATCCGTGTCGAGGTACATCCTAAAGCAGGTCCAGTCTTGATTATCATAATCGATCAGGAAGCCATCATACTTCACGCGGTACGGGCTCTTGAGCGCCGAGCTCTCGCACTGGGAGAAAGGGAATGAGTTCCTGTAGGTACCGAAACATTCCCAGTAGAGTCAGATAAAATGAAGGTTTAGCTGCGCTTTTTAACGGTGCTTAAGTGCTGCAGCTGCTGGGGGACGGGCAACCTCCCAATAGATGCCGCCTGCCATCCTCCTCAGCCCAAGGGCTGTGCGGCAATGGAAACAACTTGTCCTCTTACCCGCTCGCAGCTACTTGGACACCTGCAAAGAAACCGGTACAGTTAGATAACAGTCCGCAGCAAGGACCAGCAACGCCCATGTCGAACGACGGCTCGCAATGTCGCCTACCAGTCACCGCCACGCCCACTAGGACGCTGAGCAGTCCCAGCTGCACCACCTTGAACGCCATGTTTAAGTAATGCAAAACGTGACGCAAGGTACTCAAGCTTGACCACGCTCTGCTGCCAGCTACCAATCCACCGTAGTGGCGTTCAAGGCTAAAATACCTACTTACACATCCACAAACATCAGCCTGTAGGCCCTACTACTGCTTCAAATTAAACTGAGTCAGTTGGAAACCTATTTATAGGCCACCCGCACGCCGCTGCCGACTTGTGTCGTATTACACTTCATCGCTGCCGTATCTCAACGCCGTCTTACTTTCCATCATAACCCTGTAGCATTTTATAGAGGCTTAATTTATACACAGGGAAGATGCGAAGATATGACTGGTAGTACTGGTTCTTTTGCCAACTGCTAAATGCGATGTAACCATAAGATAGGGATACACGATTGCAATACGAAATGAGTTTTTCGTGATGTTGTGCAAGTATTCATCCTTGAATTTTGTCTTCAGCTTCAATGATGGCATTGCGGTTAACCCCGTTCGGAGTTGGGTGTTTGAACGCGGCAAGGAATCTCCTGTGTGTCTCAGCCTTTGATGTTCACGTCTTTATATAACATATGATGAGTGTAATTGCGTGCGTTACATCAATAGAAACCTGGCTTCTGGACACGTTTCCCTGTGGGTCGCCGAATAATGCGCTAATATGCGCCCGCCCCATATAGTTACGCTATTTATCAGCTTAAATCCACGAACACATTTAGGTTGCCCCAGACTAGTTTTGGCAAGCGGAAGACGAAGAATGCGGAATAATGGAATGGCGAACAACGGCAAGCGCGAAACTGCATCAAGCATTCAAGAGTTACGCCATTCGCATTCGTCATGAGCATATTTCACAGGAATAACTTCTAATTAGTTTTTCTTGATAGCCGAACCAGGGGAAGTTTCTTGTGGTACCTTTTTGGCGTTTTCTGCTTAGGACGTACGTAGCCTCGAGTTACTTCAAAGATGGTCTAAACCATCATCACTCCTCACATTACTCCCTTTCCGCATTGCGATGCATCTGAGCTTGTTGGATACCCATGGTGATTCAATGGACGAGACAGTACGAAAACTTTTTCGCTTGCGGACTTGCGAGTAATCACGCTCAGGGGTAAGGATGCTGCTGACGCTACTTATAATTCAACGCTACTTGTCCTCCGCTGTAGCCTGAACAAGGTGTTTACCTTACAGCTTGGGAGGCAGGGTGACATTAAGCATGTAAAAATCTAATGCTAGCTAATGCCATTAGTGCATATGCATCCGCAGCATATCCAACGGTGCCAGTTGGCGCCTTCGCACTTTCCGTGCCAAACCCCCCGAGCTGCTGCTGCAGCTCTCCCACCGTTAGAAGCAACGGTTGCAGATGCGTTTGTGAGTTGGCACTTGCGAGGCAATTATCACCTCCATCACAACTGTCATGCGCAAACGCACAAGCGCCAAACTAGCCTGATATTGGGATTAACCCTAGTTGTTGGATGATGCTGTGCGAAGAAATAACTTTTCCTTACTGCGCAATGAACCTCGCTGCTGTCGGGTGTTCAACCTCTGCCTCGTGCAGGGCTCGGCTCCGCAGCGCAGCCATCCACAGCTAGCACAAAATGCTAAGATAGTCGGATTTATTTCGCGCCAGCTTGTGAAGTTCCCATTAACGAAAAGCAACTGAGGCATCGTCCATTATGCACTGCGCTTGCGGATACCTCTCCCCCCCTCGTGTATGGCCTTGTGGTCGTTGATGGTTGGTGGTTGTCGTTGGTGGGTGGCCTGGCTAGACAAAAACAGACATCAACTTGGCTGGGTGAGGACGTAACATATCGTGGTGGCAGCCTTCGTCCACTTCTGACACGTCGGAGCCCCGCTATCCTGCCTTGCGGTGTGCGGATGTGAGCTGAAGTGCGCCAGTTAGACCTCTCCAAGCTCTTTATTATCTCACGCAACCTCCTGTGCGTAGAGCAGCAAAAGCGGTATCTATCGGCGAGGGGTCTGCGAGAGAAATCGTGTTTCCAGCGGAATTGAGGTGCGGAATGACGGGCGCGGTTGGTGCGTCTGAGTGCGTCGTTTCGGCAGGGCCTGTATCTTCCTGACTCGCTTTTTAATCCATGACAGCTGGCACAAAAAGTCATAGTGAGCAATCGTACTTATGTCATGTACGACCGGGATCTCCGTTTCGCGTTGACTCATGAACTGAAACGGATTGGAGCCGCAGGTTTGGTGTTGTGTGGTCGTTTCGCGCGCCCTGGAATTTGCGGGGCCGCACGTCGAACGCTGTGCAGGTCGCCTACCACAAAAGGCCTGCAGATCACCTACGGACGATGTGAGAAAATGTAAGTTGTGCACAAGTCATTGGGACGGCCTTCAGAGGAGCTTGTGTTGTGCCCTAGCGAAGAACATTCATAATGTGCGAAGATTACCCAGGAGGGCGAACTACGTTGCCCATGCTCGATGTCTGACACATCATCTCAGATTCTTAATTTTTTTAAAGCATACGAATGCTCGTAGTGCAATTTACTTAGGAGAATGCACCATGGCCCGCCTTTCCCTGGGAATCAGGAAGAGGGCATCGTTCCTTGAAATCGCGATTGCCAGATTGCTGCACTTTTCTCCCAGTCCATAAGGTACAGTAAAAGATCTTGTACATTACGTAAAGGAACTTCTCAAGAATTGAGTTGATGCAATTTGTGCTAGGCTCAAGCGCGCCCGCCAGTTCGCAATGTGCGGGCAACCGATCTTCGCCGAGACTTACAGGCATCGATTTGATAGAAGACTGTGTCACACGTATGGCCTTCCTACTTACTTTCGAACTTCCATGCTGCCATGCGACACACAGATAACTTCCAGGGTACGGTGCTCTGGCGGGTGTTGAAACACTGAAACCTGAAATCAACCAAACAACTGAGAAGCAGGACATCCCAGTACGGGCAAAGCGGTCGCTCCACGAGAAGGCATTCTTCCTCATAGCGTATTCTTGTGGCAAGTCCTTTGACGCGCGGAAACGACTACTGTAACTGATGCATAGGCGTCTTACATTCCAAGCACTGGGTAACCACCAGCCGAAAAAAACCTTCGCCGTCCCGTCCACCATCGGAGTTTAACCGCACACGCTCCGCGCAGCGCAAGTTTTTCGAACATGACGAACTTTGGGCCGGGCAGTTCTTCTGTTGGGAAAAGTTTACATGACGTTCTTCGCAAGCAAGACACACTGCTGGGCCTGCTCGGATATCTACCGCAAAAGCTACACCAATTTCAGCATGGCGACTGACTTCCCCACCGAAGAGGATGTGCATATTGACCAAAAACTAAATTGCCCGCGCATGGCAGGTAGCAGTTAACAGTCATGCTACAGTATCCTCTAGCGAAGCGGCGGTTGCACATCGACTGAGCGTGCGAGCTGAGTGCGCAGGCGAGGAACTTTATGGGTTATGTTGATAACTGTGCGAACGCGCGGAGAGAGGGTAACCTCACTGTTTCTGGTATGGCGCTGGAAAGTATTGATACCGATAATCTACTGCACGGGGGTCCAGCAGACCTGGTAAAGACGGGGAGCGAGAGAGAAAAAGATTACGGTAAGGCAAGATGAACGTCCCCTATCAATCGGCGCCCACCGAGCTGGGGAATTGGAAGCTGATTGCACGAACGGTCACATGCGTACGCAATGCATGCGTGCATGTCAGTTGCACAGCATGTTTTCTTGCGGAAGAAAAAGTGTCTAGGCAGCGGAATCATCTCCCTTCCTCCCTGCATTCCGCCTTTTTTCTTCCCTGCGTGGCATGTCGGCAACACGGGTAAAGAGGCAGCAACTTAGATGGGCGTTTTGGTTGGGGGGTTAAATGATGGAAGCTGCACCCAACACACAGCTTTGGCCTTTTGTTGGGTTTCCCCTTTTGTTGGCTCCTCCTGTTGTGCGCCGTGTTGCGCTGGGTCCTGGCCGTCGTTCCGTTGGGATAGAAGCTGCGTGTAGCAACACTTACTGGCCGTCTCCTGGACTATGCTACCTCTGCCCGGGCCGCAACAGTTCCTGCAACCCCCCAGTATCTTTCAGTAACTTGCTTAGACACATAGGCATTTACCCCCGGGCACCTGATGAGTTCAGATGATCATCGGCCAACCGCGACAAGTTCCCCGGTCGTCACGTATTACGATAGCATACATACAACGAAAATTTATTTAAGCAGCTCCCCAAAGCGAAGATAGTCAATGGCATTGAAAGGATTATTATTAATAATTCTAGGTAGACCCCCGACGTGAAATTATGGGTAGTTGCTGAGATGTGGAGTTGAGGTCACAGTTGATGGACCGAGATTCGCACGCTGGATTGGTGGCGATTGCTGAACCCTCTGTCTCTGCGGATGTTCGATGACATGAAGGATTCTAGAAGACAGAATCAACCGCCTTGGACTTGCAGTTCGTATGGCATAGCACAGCGTAGTAATGGTAGATGGTGCTGCATGTTGTTTAATCCTAGATATGACAATCCAAATGTGTTCAATTGCCCCAGAAGCCTCCCACTCTTAACAACAACAACAGCAGCAGCAGCAGCAGCAGCAGCAGCAACAACAACAACAACAACAGTAATAATTAAAGGAATACTGGCAGGGGAAGCATATGGAACTGCAGTCCTGCGGCTCTTTCGGTTGGGCGCCATTCTCAACTTCCTCGGGTTCAGGACGCCCGCTTAGGGCCGTTCCCGAGACTGGCTGAACCAAAAGAGGGGAGCTGTTCTGGGACATCACGAATGACTGACCTGACACCGGAGTTTCTATCCTATCCTTCGCAAGACGGAGAATTTCAGTAGGAGTGTAGTACTGCCAGTACTCCGGGCAGACAGGCAGATATGAATAATCGACATTTCTTCTGATATTCTAGCTGAATCTTGGCACATACTCGCCGCGAGCGCACAACTAACTCTATCTCCGGGAATGTTGTCCATTTAAAGTGTTGACCGCGTGACGAAGACAAAAGTTGTGCTTTGAAGATTTTACGAAACACCTTATACTACAATCTGTCTACGCTATGTACGCATCGCCTACTTGACCAATGCAGCACAGTTAACGGAGACATGGCAGAGCGTTGCCCAACAACAACATCCACGATGTTGAAAAAAGCTAACACCTACAATATAGCGTGAATTGGAAATGGCGGAGGATAAAGGTACGCCATGCTCTATTAGCTGCCTGACTAGGGAAGCATGCCCCAACGTTTGGAGCACGCCCCAAACAGGCCAAACGCGTCAATGTTACCAGTACCCTTTTGCTATATAGGACTGCATGGCACATAATTTGCGGCACCATCTAGCTGAGGACTCTGCCACAACGCCACTTAAGCCATGCAAGCCTAAGTCAGGTCAACGGAGTAACCTCAACGCTTTGCCCAAGCTCACCTTTCCCACTAACTCATCGGAGGCCATTCCAGCTCCCCACCGCACGCTCCCGCACCCAGGCGTAAGCGCGTCCCCGCGGTCCCTACCGTTGTCCCAACTCCCAACCCCTTCACAGCCCCAACGGCTCTGGAGCCGCTGCCGCCCCCGCGAATGTCGCGGATAGGGCCCACGTCGCTGGCGCCGCTGCAACAGCGCCGCTCCACTCTCGAGCCGCTTAGCAGCCAACCGCTCTTGCCAACCCTCGCCAAGCCCCCACTGCCCAGCACCACCCCCGTGAAACCCACCGCTGCCTCCACGCCGCCGCCGCCTGATCCTGCGGCGCCGCAGCAACCCCCCCTGGTACCTCCGGCCCCCTCCTCAGACGCACCCGACGCCTCGGCGTCATCCCAGCCCTCACCCCCACCCGCACCGCCTTCGCTATCGGCTGCTGCCACTGCACCGTCCGCCCTCGCAAACCCCCTCCCTAGCGACACACGCGAGCCCGCGAGTATAGACGGGCTCAGTAGCCCCGCTGCCACTGCCGCTGCCGCTGCGGCACCAATGGCAGCCGGCGGCTCGGTGGCTGCGGCAGCGGCAGCGGCGGCGGCAGCTCCATCACGGCATCCGACACGGCGGCCCAGCCTGCCCGACGCACCCACCTCCGCCACCACCCCCGACGCTGGTCCTGCCCAACCGCAAGGCGTACCGCAGCCTCAGCAACCTCAGCCGCCGCCTCCCCCGCTACCGCTGAGAGATAGCGCGCCTGTTTTAAGTCCCGCGCCGGATGCTCAGACACCCACCCTCCCTGGCGCTGTGCCCACCACGCCGACGGCAGGAAAGGTGGATAGCGGTGGCGGTGCAGCCGCTGCTGGGGTGGTAGGGGCAGATGGCGCCGACACGCGGGCGGCCCGGGCAGCAGCAGGCGGGGGGGGGGCCAAGAGGGTGCCGCCGAAGGAGCCGCCTCCCCCCGCCGCTGTGGATCACGCGTCCGTAACTACGGATGGCCGTACAGTGGAGCAGTACATTCCGTTTGGCTTTGTGGAGCTCCGAGGTGTGTACATGTACGTGGTTTGTTTTTAATTAGTCGCAGTGGTG